AGCACTAGGGGGCGCTGTGCTGAAGGTAGCAGGATTGCAGGGGCTCAGCTGGAGGCGCTCTCCTGGGCCATCCATCCTGGCCCCGGTGCCCCAGGGCAGCTCCCGGGGGCATGCACTGTGTGATGCCTGTGTCTGCAGCCAGGACATGGAGGATCCTGACGTTCGTGGTGGCGCTGCCCGGCGTGGCGATCTGCATGCTGAACGCCTGGCTGCAGAAAGAGCATCACTCCCACAAGCCTGAGGAGTTTGTGCCCTACCACCACCTGCGCATCCGTACCAAGGTACAAGGAATCATGGGGCTGACTCGGGGCAGGACAGAGGGGGGTGGGATACCAGGCTAGACAGGCCTATGGGGCTGGGGACAGCATCCCCAGCTCAGAGGGGCGGTGAGTTTTCTGGCCTCATGGCAGCCAGCCCTGGGAAAGCCAGGGCACAGGGATACACTCTCCCCAGAGGGCGCGGAGGCTCTGGGCTGGGTTCCCTAGGGAGGGGTGGAATCTCCGTCCCTAGAGGTTTTTAAGTCCCGGCTTGACCAAGCCCTGGCTGGGCTGACTGAGTTGGGTTGGTCCTGCTTTGGGCAGGGGGCTGGACTCGATGACTCCGGAGGTCTCTGCCAGCCCTCCGATTCTCTGACCCCCTCTCTCCCTTTGCAGGCCTTTCCCTGGGGTGACGGGAACCACTCCTTCTTCCACAACCCTCACACCAACCCCCTGCCCACAGGCTACGAGAAAGCGGGGGGTCACCACTGAGCTGGGCCGGCCTCGCCAGGCCTCGCGCCAATAAATCGGAGCGGATTGGTCTCCCAGTGGATTTATTTCCGTTCCGGCCCAAGGAACGGGCTGGGAATTCTGGTCTCTGTGCGCCACCCAGACAGGAGCCGGGTGCTGAAGATGCGACCAGCCAGGAGGGGTCGCACTGCTGCGTCTGGGAGCGTCGTTAGTCTGGCTTCATGAGTAGCAGCCCCTGGCTCCAGCATTGGGGTGGATAATGGGCCAAAGCCCAGCTCCAGCAAGCCCATTCTGCCTCCCCACGTCCCCCGCTCCGGCGAGCCAGCTCCCCTTCCCCAGCTGGCTGAAATTCTATTGCGGAGTTGCTGTTGGACACCAGCTTGCCCTACCCCAGAGATGGCTGCATCTCGGGCCTCAGGCCAGGGATCCCTGGCTAAGCAGCCCCGCTGCCCCACCTGTATCTGCCAGGGGAAATATCCCTGGGTAAGCAGCCTCTAGCTCAGTGTAGTCACCCAACCAGCTCATGGCACCTTCAGGTGGAAAGCGGGGGCAGTGGCTGCATTAGGGGGACCCTGCTGAGCTCGGCTGAGAGCGGGTAGGGGTGAGCAGGCCTTCCAGGGTGGATCGAACCCTTCATTCCCACAACGGGAGGGATTATCACCAGAGAGGGGGAACAGCCCCAAGTTTTGATCCCCAGCGCCAGCGTCCCGTTGAGTCTTTCCTCATCAATCACATGCCCATTTTAATAAGACCAACCTGCTGGGTGGGGGGAGGGGGGGAAGCCAGGTGCAAAGAGAGCAGGGGGCGAGTCCCTTTCTAGCAGCAGCGAGTGGGGCCTTGACAGCAGCCTGCAACTCCCTGAAGGGGGTTCGAAAGAGGCTGGAGGGAGGCTGTTCTCAGGGGTGACGGATGGCAGACCGAGGAGCAATGGGCTCAGGTTACGGGTGGGAGGTCTAGGTTGGAGATTAGGAAAAGCTATTTCCCTAGGCGGGTGGGGAAGCGCTGGGCTGGGTTCCCTAGGGAGGGGTGGACTCTCCATCCCTAGAGGTTTTGACGTCCCGGCTTGACCAAGCCCTGGCTGGGCTGATTGAGTTGGGTTGGTCCTGCCTTGGGCAGGGGGCTGGACTCGGTGCCTCCTGAGGGCTCTTTCCTCCCTCTGGGTCTCTGACTGAAAGGAGCCAGGTCGAGGGCACTGTCAGGCCAGACCTGGGGCCCGTGCTGTGGCCCCCGAGCCGAGCGAGGTGCTTGTTAGCCCAGAGGGGGAACAGAGGCCGGCAGAGACACTGTGCACAGGGTCACATGGAGCATGGAACCCGGGAATCCTGCCCCCCACCCCGCCAGACCCCACTCTTGTCCCTGAGCTGGGGACAAACCCCAGGAGTTTGGGGGATTTAAATCGTCCCTCCCAGGCGTGCTTCCACCAGCTGCGGGGGGGGGCCCTACTCAGCCCTCTCTATTCCAGCACTCCTTGCTACCCTCCCCAATTGCCCCTTGCCAGGGGCTCTGTGGCCTTTGCCCATTTCCCCCTCCCTCTGTACCAGCCTCCTGCAATCGCCCCCCACGCCTGGGGCTGAGAGGGGGCCCTCTGGGCAGCCATTTCCTGCCTCTGCTGCTGTTTCTGTCCCTCCCCGGGGCCACCTCTGGCTGCCTCTCCCCCAGGGCTGCAGGCAGGGCTCGCCCGGCCCACCCACACAGGGCCCAGGGACTCAGGTGTCCAGGCCCCGAGGAAAGGAAGGTCCCTGGTGGCCCCGCTCCCGTCCAGAGCTCATTGGCTTTGGCCCTTTAATTCTCCATCACAGGGCGAGGGGGAGAGGACGGATTCCTCGCCCCGGGGCCACCTCTGGCTGCCTCTCCCCCAGGGCTGCAGGCAGGGCTCGCCCGGCCCACCCACACAGGGCCCAGGGACTCAGGTGTCCAGGCCCCGAGGAAAGGAAGGTCCCTGGTGGCCCCGCTCCCGTCCAGAGCTCATTGGCTTTGGCCCTTTAATTCTCCATCACAGGGCGAGGGGGAGAGGACGGATTCCTCGCGCAGAAAGAACCATGGAAAGCCACAGCCTCCCTCCCTCTTTGCTCTCAGGCCCGGGGCCCCTGCCCCCTCAAGCCAACCTCCCTGGGGCAGACCCGTCCCCTGCCTCGGACGCGGCCCGATGCCTGGAGCCCTGCGGTGGCCACTGTGGGAATCACCCGCCCGTGTGGGAACATTTCTTCCGAAAACTTTTCTCGCCGCTTTGGAGCTGTCACGGCGAGAGGGGCTCATGCGATGGGCTCGGCTGACCCGGATTTCACCCCGTCCCCGTGTGGGCCAACGACAGTGCGGCCTCAGGCGGGCTCCGAAGCCGGTGGGCGGCAGAGACCCCTCCTCGGCTCACAGGAATTTGCCCCAATGCCTACAAGGGGGCTGGCGTTTGTCTGGCGTCACTGTCCCACCCGTGGTGCTGGCTGCTGCCTCTCTCCGCTAAAAAGCA